GTGAGCCGGGCGGCCAGCCTAGCAGTTTGTTCTCCGGAGCTCAGATCCATCCTGCATAGTTGCAACCCACCCCTCGGCTTTTATCCAGCCTCTGCCCATCCAGCACCTGCCCAGCCTGTGCCACGGCCCAACCCTCCCCACGATCCGCCACTGTCTTGGTGCAAGATCCTTCTCCACTGCAGCCACCGCCCCTGCTCTGCCAGAGCCCCATGGGGTGCCGAGGCCCTTCTTGTCACGTCCTTCCTAGTGCCCCCTGCCATGGCCTGCCCCCTCTGCCTGCCTTCCCAGCTTGTGCGGAGGCTGCCACACAAGAATGTTGTCCTGCTGTGCGAACCTGGCTGTTCCCCATGTCAGAAGCCTGCCATACGCACTCCCCCCCTTTCACAGGCACGGATTTCTGTGGGAACCCCCGGAGCAGCACTGGGGAGCCTGCCTGTTCCCCATGTCAGAAGCCTGCCATACGCACTCCCCCCCTTTCACAGGCACGGATTTCTGTGGGAACCCCCGGAGCAGCACTGTGGAGCCAGGAGAGGCAGGCCCCGACCACTGTTCCCTCTAATGTTTTCCATCTATATGCGGATTAAATTTTGTTCTGTGCACTGAGGCATGCAGAGATATGCACCACCACTAGGAACATATGCAAGCGGGACTCTGCTAATCCACTGGGTGGCATCTGAATCTCTCCTGGGTGGCCGCCAAGCGCCCAGCTTACAGGGAACACTGGCCCTGACCCACCCCTCTCCGTGGCTGCTCGGGGTGGCTCCCCGCAGGGACGCCAGCACTCACATGCATAGGGTGACACATAGTGGCTGCCATAGGAGGTGGCAGAGCGTGTCCTTTCCATCCCGGGCTTGGTGGGCGGCTGGGGAGTCTTTGCTCCTTCTGCATGAAGAATTGAAAGCGACCAGTTAGTGTGGGCAGGGGCCAAAGCCGTGTCCAAGCGGCAGAGGGAGTGCGGGGAGGCCAGTTCAGTAGGGACAGCGCGAGAGCGGGGGGGGTGCATGGCTACTGGGAGGAGACCTCACCGCTGAGCAGCCACCTCGTGCTGACCCTGCGTGTGTGGAGCGGAATCGCGCTGGGGGGTCCTGTGAAGCCCCCATGTGGGTGTCTGAGGTGCTGTCCCCACAGCCGCTCACGGCAGCACTCGGGTGCGCTGGCCACGTGCGTGTGTCCATCAGTTACCGCCTAGTGCCCCAACTGCCCAGCCGAACCGCCTAGTGCCCAAACTGCCCAGCCGAGGGGCCTGCCCCGAGACCCCGCTATGGCCGCTGAGCGCAGCCCCCTTAGTCTTCAGGGCCGCCCATCCTGCCTCCCGATCCCAGCCTGCGATGCGCCCTGTTGGGCTGAACCTCTCGCGCCCCTGGAGCTAGCGCATTGCATGCTGGGAAGTGCCGTCTCCACATCCCCATTCCAGTGCGTGCCCAAACTGCCCAGCCGAGGGGCCTGCCCCGAGACCCCGCTATGGCCGCTGAGCGCAGCCCCCTTAGTCTTCAGGGCCGCCCATCCTGCCTCCCGATCCCAGCCTGCGATGCGCCCTGTTGGGCTGAACCTCTCGCGCCCCTGGAGCTAGCGCATTGCATGCTGGGAAGTGCCGTCTCCACATCCCCATTCCAGTGCAAGTGGCCCCAGCTGAGTTTGGCCCACGGGCTGCCCCCCTTGCCCTGCCCCATCAGGGGAGCGGCCCCTCCAGCCACACCTGAGTACTCCTTCTCCAGGGAGGGGCTCCGGTTCGCTGTCAGCGAGCTCACCCTGCCCTTGTAGAGAACCCCATTGATGCCCAGGATATCCACTTCGTTCTGCAGGGAAGAACACACCATGGTATGGGCTGTATGTGAACGCGGCTCTCCCCGCACCAGGCCCCCGGCTTCCTCCCAGCTTTTAATCTCTCCCTCCACACCCTCTGCCATCAGCCTCCCAGCACCACCTGTCTTAACCCTCTCGCCCACAGCCCCTGCCCCTCTGCCAAGTCAGTCCCCTCCAGCAGGTCTCCTGGCGGCCACGTCTCCCCAAGACAATGGAGCTAAAGGCAACTGCTGTGCTGGGGTTAGGGTGGTGGCGGGGGAGTTCACCTACGATAGCCTGGCTTACGTTATCTTACGTTATCGTAGGTGAGGACTGTCGGGTCTCCGTAGGGGTACATGGTGGTAAGAGCCTTGGTCTTGGACAATCGCTTGACAGGGTAGGGGATGTGCCCTTGGCATTGCCAGCACTGCTGCGAGGGGAGATGCCCACGGCTGGTCAGTTCACGCCCTTCTTTGCCCTCCAAAGCTTGCTCCCTGGGGGAAAGGAGAAAGTAGCCAGCCTGCCGTGAAACCCTGAGCTCTTGAGATCTAGCCGGGCTGTGCCGCCAGGAACTTGGAGCTTCCTTGGACCAGCTCAGGGCGTCTCCGAGAGCTCCAAAGGTGGAGGAGAAACCTCAGGCTAAGCCAGGTGCTGCAGGGGTGATGTGCTGGTGCCTGTTGGCTCCAGCAGGGGGCAGTTCTGCTGCCAGGCCAGCAAGCTGATAGCTCTGCGAGCTGGTTTAAATTCCCTGGGCGTAATTAGTTTCTGCCCTGGTCAAAGCAGTGCCTGGGGTAGCGCGTGCGAGAGCCAGGGGACATGAACCTACTGCCCGTGGTGGCCGTCTTGCAGAGGTGGCATGCAGGCCAGGGAGAAGCCAGGTCCCTGGCCCATCCCTCAGCAGATGCACGCGAGAGGAGACTTGTAGCCATGGGGAGACTAGGAATTGCTCACCTTGCTTGCTGCTGAAGTGCCAGGTACTCGTAGCCATTGGCACTGGCGGGACGCGGCCGGGAGAACAGATTTGCTTTTCGGACAGTCACCAGGTGTCTGCAGGGAAGTAACGGTATGAAAAAAAGCCCAACAGTGCCCCCTCCTGGACATGACCGGGGCTCGCCGGGCTCAGGCAGAACCGCAGGAAAGTGGGGTTGCTTTGTACTCACGGCCCAGTCATCATGGCCACGGGTCTGTCACAGGAAATGCACCTCACTCGCTCAAAGAGCTGCCTGCAACAGACACAGCAGAGCTCACAGGCGGCCCTGGCTCTAGCTGTGAAACAGTATTTGTATCTCGGTGGCCCCTAGAGCTACAAATGAAGTCAGGGCTTTGGACATGCCCGGTGAGAGCCTGTCCCTCCTTTGAAGAACTTGCACAGCGGGGAAGTGACTCGTTCAGGGTCCCTCAGTAGGTCAGGAGCAGAGCCAGAACCAGAAGCCAGGTCACCTGGGTCCCAGCCTGGCTTTCTAGAGCCCCTCTGTGACAGAGCAGGAGCCCAGGGCAATCATTCCTACCTTGGGCAAGAGTGAAAGAGGAATATGAACTCCCTCCTCCGGCCAGTCTCCTAACCCTAACCTGTCCTTGGCTTTTGACACGGTGGGACCCTGTGTGGGGGCAAGTGGCAGGGATGTGGACCAACTTGTTAGACTTACGGCAGGCCCTGATGGGTTACAGCCCAGCTGCTCTGGTGGGATCTCTCCAAGGCAGAGAGGCTCCGGTCCCCCCCCCCAGGCCCCTGCCTCTCAGCCACTCACCTTTTAAAGCCAGCGGCACTGTCAGCATCAAAGCGGGGGCCCTCACTCAGATATTTCTTAATGAACTTCCACACTTCCTCCAGCTGCTTCCGCAGAGGGTCTAGGGCCATGCGGTCCAGCTGCAGAGAGTGGGAAGAGGGAAAGAAACAGCAGCAGGGATCTCTGTCAGTCTGCACCTTACTGCCCCTGTACTGGAATGCTAAAGTGTATCGTACTATTCAGCCATTAGTTGGCTTTGTCTGTAAAAGACCTAATTTAAGCTAATCTCAGCCATGCCTGGCAGAGCACTGAAGGATTTTACAGTGAACACATCTGATGTGTATCTCTCTTAGAAGTAATCTCTGTGGTAATCTGATACAGAAGCCTGACTTGCTAGTAGCAGTCCTGCAGACGACCGACCGTTTACAAGAAGTACGTGACATGATGTCAGAAGTAAACTAGTGCCAGAACAAATGGAAGGAACAAAGCAACAAAGATTGCAGGAACTCATCAACATTCCACTCTTCAATGCCCTAGAGCAGTGGTCCCCAAACTTTTGGGGCTGCCGGGCGCCCGGGGGTGGGGCCGCTCACAGGCCACGTGCCCGGGGGCGGGGCCACGCGTGCGCCCGGAGGCAGCACTGGCATGTGCCGTGACCCCGGGCAGGGGCTACCCATGAGCCCAGGCTGGCACCGGCATGTGCTGCAACCCCGCGCAGGGGCCACCCGTGCGCCTGGGGCCGGCACCGGCATGTGCCGCAACCCTGGGACAGGGGCCGCTCATGCGCCTGGGGCCAGCACCGGCATGTGCCCGGGGGCGGGGCCAGCCCAGATTGTTCCACGGGTGCACATAAATGGCCCGGCGGGCACCACGTTGGGGACCACTGCCCTAGAGAACTGGAGTTTTGACAAACCTTCACTGAGGACAGACTGGAAGCAATATTTTGCAAGATTTCAAATTGCTACAAAACTCCACCAGTTACCTGGAGATGTATAGGAATCATCTTTAATTTATGCTACGGGAAATGAGGCAAAGCATAGCTTTAAATCCTTTCAGTTTATTGGAGACAGGCACAAAGATGACTAGGAAAGTGTTCTAGCTATGTCTGATGTGTATCTTATGCCTCAGAGAAATGTGATTTATGAAAAACATGTTTTCACCAGATAATTCATGAAATGAGGGGAAAAGATTGAAACTTTTATAAGAGTTCTGCATGCATTAGCTGAAAACTGAATTTGGGATTTCAAAATGTGAAAATATCAGAACCAGGCTCCTTACTGAATTAACATAAGATCTGCAGCTGAAGACAGATTTAACCCTGTTACACAGCTATACAGATAATAACAATGCAGTGTGAACTAGTCAGACAGCACAATCAAAGGTAGGAGCAACTTGAAAAACCTGAAAGTTGCTTAAAAGCTATAAACACACAGTTGATTGTTAAAAGCCAGTCTCATGAAACCCCTGAAGCAAGAAGAAAGAACTCGCAGGCTAAGCAGGTCAAATTCCACCCTACATATACCTGGTGTAGAAAAAGTCACATTCCAGGAAATGATGCATGTCCAGCTAGAGATTCACAGGGAAATTCATGCACAAAATACGGACACTCTGTAACTGTTTGCAGCACAAAATCAGTCCGGGCGTGACTCAATCAAATGCTCTGGCTTCCAGGAAAACACAGAACCTGCCTGGGGAGTGAAACTGGAGTCACAGCAAGACTATTGACTTTAAAATTGATTCTGGAGCTGACAGTCCTATCAGATGGGATTTTTAACCACCTTGTTCCCCTTTCAGAGCTGAAGTCACCCAAAACAGCTCTGACTAGCCCCAGCAGTGTTGTGAACTCAACGGTCAGTTCATCACAGAAACAACTTACAAACATGAAAGCTGCACATGCAGAATGGGTGTGATCAAAGGACCACAGACCTACAGCAGCATGGCACCCTGGGTGAGCCCAGGGAGAAAGGGGACAGAACTCGATGGAGTATTTTGTGATATTGAATGTATGAAAGGAGCGGCTGTACAAATCGCCTGAAGAAAAAATGCTGAGCCCTACAACTGGCAAGGTTCCTGTCATAAAGTGGAAACGGAGTTAAAGAGAATGGAGTGGATTGGCATACTGAGAAAATATATCCAGCATATATCCTCCCAACATAGGCTGGCCTACCCCTTCCTCCCCCCAAAGAGAAAGGAGCTACCGTGTTCTCCAAGCTGGATGTCTCTAATGGACTCTGGCAAATTCCAAAGGAAGTGCTGAACTGAGTACATTTATCACACCGTTCTGGGGATTTGCTTTTGAAGTTTACCTGCTGGGATTGCTAGCGCACCAGAACATTTTCAAAGACGGACGGCAAAACTGTTAACTAGTGTAACCACCAGGCAGATTTGAACCTGGGACCTTTGAAGTTTAGTAGAGGAGCTTCTACCCTCTGAACTAAAAGCCAGCTCGCTTCTAGTCCATGCTGTAGAGGTCTCTTGGTCTTATCTGTTACTGTGGTCTAGGTACCACTGCATTGGTCAGTGAACCACACTATGGCTACGTCTACACTTGTGGGTTCTTGTGCAAGAATCTGCAGAGCGTCCACACTGCCCGCCCGCTCTTGCACAAGGAAATTTACAGTACGGCGTGGTGAGAGAGGGCTTCTTGCGCAAGAGCTACACTCTTTTTTAACAGACGGAAGCCCTCTTGCGCAGGAGCTCTTGTGCAAGCAGGCAGTGTGGACGCTCAGCAGAGATTTCTTGTGCAAGGAAGCCCTATGGCTAAAATGGCCACCGGAGCTTTCTTGCGCAAGAGAGTGTCCATACTGCCATGGGCGCTCTTGCGCAAAAGCACAGCTCGCACATGGCCATGTGGATGTTTTCTTGCACAAGACTACTTGCACAAGAACCCTTGCGCAAGATGTTCTTGCACAAGAAGCCGCCAGTGTAGACATAGCCTAGGTGTGTGGGTTACACAAGCACACATGGAGCTGTAGTTGTCATGGACAAAATTTTGATATGTGTATCTTCAAAGGAAGGACAAAACCCTCAGCGACATCCTGAGCCTAATCTGTCCGTTCTGCCTGAAACTGGACAAAGAATTGTGCCTTTTCTGCTTACTCCAAATCGTTTTGGGACAGCCAACAGGCAAAGACGGACTCAGACTTACCTGCCCTGCCAGCAGCAGTAAGGGGCCATCAATGCACAGTGCAGCCAGCAGTGATGAGAGCATGGGGCCTAGGCCTATGCCCTTCTCTCTCCATAGCTGAATGGAGCCCTTAGAGAGGTATCAGGACAGGGCCCGAAAGCAGGGGCAGATGCTCCCTCCGAGGGGAGAACCCTGCCACATTAGTGCCCCAGGGCCAGGGCAGATGATCTTGGAGCAGGTCTGAGATAGAAGGGAATATGTGGGCCACACACTGCTGCTATTGGGAGTGAGTCCATTTACCTGAATGGAACGAAGTGAGGCCTGGCCCTTACAGAGCAGGGCTGGTCAGCCTGACCCTGTGTACAGGCCTGCTGACGGGGTGGGAGGGCGACAAGGGAGGCAGTTGCCCTGGGGCCCAGTGATTCAAAGGTATCCCGGCCCCCTTTGAATCGCCGCCAAAGCACCACTCTGTGCAGCTCTGAGGGTTGGGGGTGGGGCACACGCCATAGTCTGGGTGGCGCTGAGGGCTGCCTGCCCCCAGCCCCACCCCTTTTGCCCAAGGTCCTGCCCCTTCTGGGGGTGCGGTGCCTCCCCACACCTCGCCCCAGGGCCCATGGGGGTTGTCAGCCCCACTGCCCTTGCAGGAGGCTGTTTACTCATGGAACTGACTGCAGGGAAGGGGGCAGCAGGGAGAGGGATCCTGGTCTCACGTCAGTTTCACTCCAGCATGGTCCAGAGTCTCTCTGTTTACGCAGTGTGTAAGGAAGATCAGGCTGATGGTGTTTTACTGCTCCTGGTGCCCGTCCTTGCTGTGGCGTGTAGTGATTTCACAGCATGTCGGGGTACCATTTTAGGGGAAAGGGGGGTTCTTGCCCCTCCTGAGTTTCATGCCGGAGGTCTGCTCAAGCGCATGTCTTGACCCTACATAGAGCTCTTAACTGCAGCACAGCTGGGCTATGTCTAGACTGGCATGATTTTCCGGAAATGCTTTCAATGGAAAAGTTTTCTGTTAAAAGCATTTTCGGAAAAGAGCGTCTAGATTGGCACAGACGCTTTTCCGCAAAAGCACTTTTTGCGGAAAAGCATGGTGGCCAATCTAGATGCGCTTTTGCACAAAAAAGCCCTGATCGTCATTTTCGCGATCGGGGCTTTTTTGCGCAAAACAAATCTCAGCTGTCTACACTGGCCATTTTGCACAAAAGTTTTGCGCAAAAGGGACTTTTGCCCGAACGGCAGCAGCATAGTATTTCTGCAGAAAGCACTGATTTCTTACAGTAGGAAGTCAGTGCTTTTGCGGAAATTCAAGCGGCCAGTGTAGACAGCTGGCAAGTTTTTCCAGAAAAGCGGCTGATTTTCCGGAAAAACTGGCCAGTCTAGACACAGCCCTGGAGTGTGATAGATATGATGAGTTCTACAAAATTTCACTCAAGATAGATAAGTCCATTGCAGACTGCGAAGAGTCACAAAGGGATCTTACAAAACTGGGTAACTGTGAAACAGAAGGGCAGATGAAATTCAGTGTTCATAGATGCAACGTGCAATGCATGCATCAAAGCATAACCCTTAGTATACGTACAAAATGATGGAGTCTAAATTGGCTGTTACTCATCAAGAAAGAGATCGTGCAGTCATGGTGAGGTGTTCTCTGAAAACATCTGCTCAACAGCAGTAAAAAAAGCTACCAGAAGGTTGGGGATCGTTTTTTTAAAAAAAAGGGGATCAAGAATAAGGCAGACAATATCATATTGCCTCCATATTAATCCATGGTACGCCCACCTGTTGAATACTGCATGCAGAGCTGGTCACCCCATCTCAAAAAAGATCTGTTGGATTTTGAAAAGGCACAGAGAAGGGCCACAGAAACGATAAGCTTATGGAACAGCTTCCGTATGAGGAGAGATTTAAAAGGACTGGGACTTTTCACTGTGGTAAAGAGATGAATGAGGGAGGATATGAGAGAGGTCTATAAAATCATGACTGGTGTGGAACAGCTGTTATTTACTCCTTCACAGAACAAAAGAACTAGGGGGCCACTCAATGACCCAGCAGGTAAAAAAACAAACAAAAGAAAGTGTTTCTTCATAGTCAACCTGGGGAACTCTGCCAGAGGGTGTCGCGAAGGCCAAAACTATAACAGAGTTCAAAAAAGAACGTAAGTGTATGGAGGGTGGGTTAATCAATGGCTATTAGCCAGGATGGGCTGGGGGTCCCTAGAGCTCCTTTTGCCAGAAGCTGGGAATGGGTGATGGGATGGATCATGGGATTCTGCAGCACCTGGCTACTGTCGGCAGACAGGACACTGGGCTAGATGGACCATTGGTCTGACCCAGTGTGGCCGTTCTTATGTTCTAATATAGAACCCCGATGTGTCTGCCTCCCTGGGATCCACCGGATCCCATTCCCCTAGAGCCCAGGAATTCTGGTGGGGTCTCTCCTGAGAGTCAGTAACAAAGTACGAATTTGCATTACATTTCCAACCGTAACCAATATCCCATAAGAGATTTGCCTCCAGATGTCAGAATATACTGGAATTAGAGCTGAGTGGGTCAAATATTTATTCCATTTTCTATTGGTTATATAGGAATTAGATACAGTGCTCCTGCCAGCTCATTGCTAAGTTATCTGCCAAAACACTTGAGCTTTCAAGTGCCCAAGAAGTCTTATCATGGTTCAAGTCCCTCCCCCCCCCCCCCCCCTTCCTCCCACAACCCGGCCCCTCATCTCCCCGTAACAAATCTGAGCTGTCAATCTGAGCTGTCTACACTGGCCCTTTTGCGCAAAAGGGACTTTTGCCTGAACGGGAGCAGCATCGTATTTCCGCAAGAAGCACTGATTTCTTACAGTAGGAAGTCAGTGCTTTTGCGGAAATTCAAGCGGCCAGTGTAGACAGCTGGCAAGTTTTTCCGGAAAAGCGGCTGATTTTCCGGAAAAACTGGCCAGTCTAGACACAGCCCTGGAGTGTGATAGATATGATGAGTTCTACAAAATTTCACTCAAGATAGATAAGTCCATTGCAGACTGCGAAGAGTCACAAAGGGATCTTACAAAACTGGGTAACTGTGAAACAGAAGGGCAGATGAAATTCAGTGTTCATAGATGCAACGTGCAATGCATGCATCAAAGCATAACCCTTAGTATACGTACAAAATGATGGAGTCTAAATTGGCTGTTACTCATCAAGAAAGAGATCGTGCAGTCATGGTGAGGTGTTCTCTGAAAACATCTGCTCAACAGCAGTAAAAAAAGCTACCAGAAGGTTGGGGATCGTTTTTTTAAAAAAAAGGGGATCAAGAATAAGGCAGACAATATCATATTGCCTCCATATTAATCCATGGTACGCCCACCTGTTGAATACTGCATGCAGAGCTGGTCACCCCATCTCAAAAAAGATCTGTTGGATTTTGAAAAGGCACAGAGAAGGGCCACAGAAACGATAAGCTTATGGAACAGCTTCCGTATGAGGAGAGATTTAAAAGGACTGGGACTTTTCACTGTGGTAAAGAGATGAATGAGGGAGGATATGAGAGAGGTCTATAAAATCATGACTGGTGTGGAACAGCTGTTATTTACTCCTTCACAGAACAAAAGAACTAGGGGGCCACTCAATGACCCAGCAGGTAAAAAAACAAACAAAAGAAAGTGTTTCTTCATAGTCAACCTGGGGAACTCTGCCAGAGGGTGTCGCGAAGGCCAAAACTATAACAGAGTTCAAAAAAGAACGTAAGTGTATGGAGGGTGGGTTAATCAATGGCTATTAGCCAGGATGGGCTGGGGGTCCCTAGAGCTCCTTTTGCCAGAAGCTGGGAATGGGTGATGGGATGGATCATGGGATTCTGCAGCACCTGGCTACTGTCGGCAGACAGGACACTGGGCTAGATGGACCATTGGTCTGACCCAGTGTGGCCGTTCTTATGTTCTAATATAGAACCCCGATGTGTCTGCCTCCCTGGGATCCACCGGATCCCATTCCCCTAGAGCCCAGGAATTCTGGTGGGGTCTCTCCTGAGAGTCAGTAACAAAGTACGAATTTGCATTACATTTCCAACCGTAACCAATATCCCATAAGAGATTTGCCTCCAGATGTCAGAATATACTGGAATTAGAGCTGAGTGGGTCAAATATTTATTCCATTTTCTATTGGTTATATAGGAATTAGATACAGTGCTCCTGCCAGCTCATTGCTAAGTTATCTGCCAAAACACTTGAGCTTTCAAGTGCCCAAGAAGTCTTATCATGGTTCAAGTCCCTCCCCCCCCCCTGTCTCCTGTGCTGGCTACCCCTTCCCTCCCAGCTGACGCTGCTACCTTGGAGTCCATGTCAGTGAAGAGCTTCTCCAGCGCCTTCTGCCAGTCCTTGTCCTGCAGGGACATCTTCTGCAGCAGATCCTGCATCATGTCGCTCAGCTGAGCTGTGGCGCTTTGCAGCTCCCCGTGGTTCACCATGGCCTCCAGTGCACTCTGTCTCCTGTGCTGGCTACCCCTTCCCTCCCAGCTGACGCTGCTACCTTGGAGTCCATGTCAGTGAAGAGCTTCTCCAGCGCCTTCTGCCAGTCCTTGTCCTGCAGGGACATCTTCTGCAGCAGATCCTGCATCATGTCGCTCAGCTGAGCTGTGGCGCTTTGCAGCTCCCCGTGGTTCACCATGGCCTCCAGTGCACTCTTGTCTGCTTTCTAACGGGGAGGCAGCGTTTTAGAGGGAGGGGCTGCGCTGTGCCACAGGGACTCAGACCTCGTCAGGGCCTGCGATTCCACTGCCCCTGCCTCATGGCTGCAGCCTGCAAAGAGGCTACAAGCTAGGGCTTTCCTGCAAAAGTACCGGGAGGCAGGGGGGCAGGGAAGAGCTGCAATTCTGGAGCAGAAGCTGCTGAGCTCTTAGTAAGGGGCACATGCAGCATTGCTAAGGACGGAGCTGGTGAGTTCCCCTGCACTGGAAGGAAGCAGTTTCTGGAGGAACTCTGCCACCATTTAAAGGCTGGTCCAGGTTCCTCAGGCTGAGGACCAGACGGATTTGGTACCAACTACAGGCTCCCACATCTCTCAGCCTGTGGGGGGGGGGGAGGAGGGGGCAGGGATTAGGGCCCATTTCTGCCAGGTGCTGCACAACCCCTGCATGGGGCTGAGAGCTCCCATCCCATCCTGGAGGAAGAGGATGGGCCTGCCCGGGTGGTGGCAGGGCATGAATAGGGTCTAGAGGGTGAAAAGAGGGGCAGATTCCCGGGGTGGTCTCCTCGACCCAGGCAAGAAACAAAGAGTTAAGTGTCTAGCACCCCGAGGCCCTGGTGCATCTAACGCCACAGAGATACCTAGTCTCCTTCGCCTGCCTAAGCGACAGGGCTACGCTTTGAAGGGCTGCTTGGCCCCGGCGCCTTTCACAGCAGGGCAGAGAGAGAACTAGCAATACTGAGGAATTGATCAAAGCCGTAGCTTCTGTCCTGAGACCAGGCAGTCGCCGCATCCCCTGCGAGCCCACAAGGAGAACAGGGACGGAGGCTCACTGAGATCCCTGGGGAAAGGCAGGGCTGCTCCATTCATCATGGTCAGAATTGAAGAGCTACATGCTAAGATGTATTCCCATTGGTGGATTCTGCCTTGTGCTCTTTCCCAAGCCCCAGGACCTGTCTACGTGGGGTGGGGTGAGTGCCAAGCTGGTGCCTGCATGGTCAAGGGCACCAGCGGGAGAAACGTATTCGGTGCCTGGGCCAGTGAGATCCGAGCTGGACCCTGCACTGCAAGGCCGAAGTTGTTATCGTGGGGAGGGAATAAGCCCTTAGCCCTGAGATTGGGGCCATGAGGTGCCTTCACTCACCACGTTCATCTCCTGCTCCAGCAGGGCCTTGTCTGCTTTGTTCAGGTCCAGCTGCTGGACCATCGCCCGCAGGTTCTGTGGACAGGCAAAACACACCAGGGAGAAGGAGGGAGGTTGCTAGGGTCACAAGACATCCCACGGTCTGTGACCTTGAGTGGCACGGACTGGACCACGTCACTTTCCCCCCACCTGGGCCCTTGCGCCCCATCTGCCCACTGGCACCGCAGTGTTGGTGACGTTCCCACCAGGCGCAGCGACGAGGAGCACGGCTGAGCTGCGTCCGCACCACTGCTGTCCTCACCGCAGGACCACGCCTCAGCCATGTTTGCGCTGCTGCCTAAATGTGTCGGTCTCGGTGCCTTCTGGGAAACCTGGGCAGCTCCCCCTCCGTGCCTGGAGCATGTGGCATCCCACGAGTCATGAAGGGCCCAAAGGAAAACTTCACACAAGCTATTTAAGCCCCGTCCCGGGTCCCTATGATGTCCCCCATCAGCCAGAAGCCAGTTTCCTGAGGGACCCAGAATTTTCCCTGGTAAGGGCCAGATTGTGGCTGGCTCTGGGGCACGTGCAAGGGGAAGAGAAGGGTCCAGGAAGCCCCTTGGTTCCCCCCATGGGAGGCAGACCAAAGGCTCCATGGGGGGAACCAAGGGGGAAGGCTTCCTGGACCCTTCTCTTCCCCTTGCACGTGCCCCAGAGCCAGCCACAATCTGGCCCTTACCAGGGAAAATTCTGGGTCCCTCAGGAAACTGCCCCAGAGGATGGATGCACAAGGCCGTTCATGGCTCTGCACCCGGCAGGCTGGCCAGGCAGACACACGGGGCCCTGCTGCCAGATCCTGGCTGCGGCTCGGGGGTTGCCTGGAAGGTCATGGTGCATTTGCTCTTACCTGGAAGTCCCCCATGTTGCTCAGCAGCCTCTCCGAGGATTTCTTCAGCTTCTCGTACTGCTCCTTCAGCTTCTGCACCTGGGCCTGCAAGTCCTTCTGCAAGTCCTTCCCCTGAGGAGAGGCGGGAATGGCGCCGTGTCAGGCACCCAGGCAGCAATCGCCGCCTTCTGCCCCCCAGACTGAGCCCAGCTTTCAGATGCTCGGGCATCGGGCATTCCCCAAGCACAGCCTGCCCCTCGGAAGGTCAAACGTGAAACAGGAAGTGTTGCAAGGACAGAGACCTCGCTGGCGGCCAGTGGCTGGATTTCAGAGTAAGGCTGACAGGGCGGATGGGACCTGTAAGCAGGAATTGGTTCCACCCACCTGTTCGTCATTAACAGCCTATCAAACGGGGCCTGGCAGAGGGCAGCTGGTTTTTATAAAGAGCCAGAGAAGAACAAGAAAGTGTGCAGACGGGAAATGGTCCTTCCCTTTTCGGCACTGATGAGGCCACATCTGGAGTACTGCGTCCAGTTGTGGGCCCCCACTGTAGAAAGGATGTGGATGCATTGGAGAGTGTCCAGCAAAGGGCAACCAAAATGATGAGGGGACTGGAGTTGAGGGAATTGGGCTTATTTAGTCTGCAGAAGAGAAGAGGGAGCGGGGATTTGATAGCAGGAGAGTTCCAGAGAGGCTGTTCTCAGTGGGGGCAGATGGCAGAACAAGGAGCAATGGTCTCAAGTTACAGTGGGGGAGATCTAGGTTGGATATTGGGAAAAACTATTTCCCTAGCAGGGTGGTGAGGATTGCTGGGAGCTTAGTGGCCAGATGACACGGAACCTCACAGGCGTCCTCATAGGATCAGGGACAAACATTGGGGAACTGGTGACACACGCAAAAGAAAAACGGAAAGAGCAAAAAATTGCAAGAGACCCTCGTGCATCCTCTTAGCCCAGCCCCGGGCCCGGCTCACCTTGTCTTGCTTGCTTTGCAGGCTGCTGATGTCCTCTTTCATTCTCTCCAGCTCAGCGGCGACGGCAGCTGTGAGCCCAATTTTGTCTGGAACCAAATGAAAAGACACCAAAGCTGTGTCTGCACAGAGGGCTTATGGGAATTCCCCCTCCGCTGTCACATGACAGGTGCAGCTCCAGCCCAGCCAGCTGCCAGCTGTCCTACCGCAGCCCCACTGCTCAGGCGCATGCAGGGCAGAAGCTGCCGCAGCGCTGTCTGCACTAGGGCTCCCAGTGGTGCTGTACCAGTGTGCTAGAGCGGCGGTGGGAGAATGTCCCCCAGTTACGGCACATGCATGGTGCATGGAACAAGCGGCAGAGAAGCCGTGCGAGATGGTTTGCTTGAAATCCAGAGCAGCCGCCCTGAATGTAGGGCAGTGGGCTGGGTTCTCGAGTGGCCTAGGGGGTAGAGCATTGGCTGGGGGACCCCAAGGGGCTGGGTTCAAGCCCTGCCCACCCAGGAGTGCCAGCACCAGCTGCCCCATTAGGAGCTACTCAGCAATGGATTCATATGGGGAGCCCAGCTTTGGTGCTAGCTCAACACCAAACAATGCCTCATGCTGCTGCTGGAGAGACATCACAGGCTGTGGGATACAGGGTGATAGGCATGGACAGGGGTGTTCCTGAGGACACAGCTGCCTGGGCTGTGTTCCCACCTCTGCTGTGAGGCTGGTGGTCACTGGAGGAGCAGTGCTTTTGCTCTCTGCCCTCAGGCTTCCCCATGGGAGCCCCCGGTCCAAGGTGGGATGCTCCCGGGGTCGGCCTCACCACAAGAGCAATGCTTCCCTGGCGAGTCAGTGCTAGGAAGGCCAACGTGGGCAGCTCAACGCTACAGACAGACTGTAGACCTGACTGCCAGCCTCACTCTCGGGATGCTTGGCCCAGCTCCCAGCCCTGCATGCTCCCCCTAGACTGGGCTCTCTCTGCCTCCAACAACACCCGTAGGGAGAAAGGTGCCACGTTTGGGGCCCCGCCCAGGTCCCCAGGCAAAGGAAGTCCCTTGCTCCGCATCCCTGAGGGCCGGCTTTCCCTCCCCCACAGTTGGGCTGGGCCCTGCAGGGATAGACACCAGCTCAATGCCAGGCTGGGCCTTGCGAGGATAAACCCCAGTTCTCCTCCCCTGGAGCCAAGCTGGGCCCTTCCAGAATAGACCCCGGGTCTCTTTTCCAGAGCCAGGCTGGGGCCTGTGAGATAGACCATCTCCCTTCCTGTGGTCCTGGACAGGCCAGATAGACCCTGTCTCCTTCCTCCACAGCTGGGCTGAGCCCTGCCAGATAGATGTTGGCTTCCTCCCCAGGAGCCAGGCTAGGCCCTGCCGGTATAGACTTCCCGCACCCTGGCTCCCTCCCCCAGCTGCCGGCTGTCCAATCTCATTTGTGTCCTTCCAGGCACGACTCTGACTGTCCAGGAGGAAGGAGCTGGTCTCTTGCTGCCCTCTACACCGCCGGTTTCTCCTGGGAGACAGGCCTGGGGCCAGGAGCGGAGCTGGGCACTGGGGCCTCACCTAGGCGATCCGCTTGCTGCTTGAGCTCACTCTCCAGCAGGCTGATGCGGCTCCCCAAGGCTTCATGCTTGTCCGGTAGCTGGCTCAGCCTGCTAAGGGATTCTCTGACCGTCTCCCGTTTCGCGTTGAGGTTGGGCCCCGGTTCTGAGGGGCTCTGAAAGAAAACAGCCCCGCGCCGGCTTTGTGGCAGGCTGGTTCCCTTTACAGCCCCGGTTCCACCACCCGGCCTTACTGAGCTCAGATCAGCTGGTAGTGGAGCTAGACTTGCTGGTGTTGGGGCTCTGGGCTGCCCAGAGTGAGGCTGCAGGCTGCTGCTGTTTGCTGCACTCCAGGGTGCAGGGCTGGGGCTACTAGCGGCCCCCCCTAAATTTCAGAGACCCAGTAGCCCAGAGAGAAGTGCTACTGACTAGGGACTGTAACCAACCCCTGCAATAATCCCCAGGGCATCGCTGGATGTGCTGAGGAGTGGTCATGAAGGGGTGAGCCACTGCTGTGTTCCAGGAGCGTGTGTGCAATGCCAGAGGGGTGTAGTGTGACCTAGCACCACCTGAGAGGCCTGAAGCTTTAACTTTGCAGCATTCTCCTCCCTGCCAGAGAGAAGCACCAACCCTCTTGTGCCCTGGATTGGAGCTGATCCGTGACGAGCCCCCCCATGGTCTCGGTCCCAGCGTGAATCAGCACTGACTCACTCGGCAGGCTCTGAAAATCTGATCCAATGGTGAACAGTAAATCTGGGGAGCTGGCTTGCCCCATTCACCCAGGAGCACAAGGCGGTTCTGCGCCGCGCTGCCTGAAGCGACCCCTCTGCCCGGGTATGGTCCCCCCGGCAGGCGGGAATCTGTACCTACCGTGGCGGAGAGCGAGTTGAAGAGAGCGCTCCACTTCACTATGTCTTCCTGCCCGGGCAAAGAGCTCAGCTGGGCCTCCAGCTTGTCCTGCATGTGGAGGAAGGCAAAAGGAGCTACCCAGCAGAGGCATGGCCTTGTGCTTTGTATCAGAGCAAAAGCTGGGCCGTCCGTGACAGGGCGCGCAGGACAAGCCTGATCCTGCCCCCGCCAGACCCAAACCTCTCTGCAGATTCAGCAATGTGTGGAGGGGTCCTCACTGGAGACAAGCATGGGGTAGTGTGTCACAACAGGGAGGTGTGACAACACGCATCCCGCGTGGTGACACCCATAGTGTGCTCTATAGCCAGCCTCCCTGGTATAGCTGCCCCGGTGCTATTCCCCCTTCCCAACCAACAGGGTGTGCTCCAGCACCAAATGCAACTCACCCTGCCCAAGACCCAGGCTAAGGGAGGGCTGAGCCGAGCTGCCAAATTCAAAGCAGGCTGCGAGGCCTAGAAAAGACGCATGTGGCCATGGACTGAGTGTGGTTGTTACCACTTGTGAGCAGCTGGGGCGTTACTGCAGATGATCGAAGGCTTCCAGGCCCCCAGGCCAATGCCATTCTCAGAAGCAAAGGGTGGGACAAGTCCAGGATACACCCTTCTAACTCTCCCACCGAGTGCTCGGTCACCCTTCCTGCGGGCACCCTGCTTACAGCTACCCACGCTGATGGGCAGGGTCACCAATGCTGCACTCAGAGCCCAGCGGCAGCAGGACACAGGCCAGGGCTGGCAGGAGACCAGCTTCCAGCCAGGTGACCATGGCTCGGAGATGGAAACATCTACACAGCTGAGCTGACCCCAGAGTGTGGCTGCGTGTATTATACCCATGTGCCCTTTGGCTGCTTGTTACAGGCACTACTGCAAACACAGCCCCCGGCTGGCAGGTGAAAGGAGATGGATTTCACCAGGGAGGATGGATTTGCCTCGAATGAACGTGTTGCTGCCTCGTTAAGCCCTGGGCCCTGCTGGGCTGAGCAGAACATCCAGACGTGTCGGGCAGCTCGCGCTCTGCACATGGCTCTGAAAAGCCGATCTCCCAGCGTTCCCAATCGACTGGGTCAACGCCCCTTTGCCAGCAGTTTCTCACTGCCTCCCCACCTCTCCCCACTCACCAGCCTGTCCAGGATAGCTTGGATGAGCTGGCTCTGCTGGTCCAGCTGGGCAAGCCGCTCTCTCAGTTCATCCATGTTGACCTGTGAAGCGAACCACATCGGTGTGATGGGCAGAGCGAACGGGCAGCCAGTGGCATCCTGCCAGCTCCGCCCTCCTCCACCCCTCTGGAGTGGCAAGGGAATACCCAGCTAATTGCACCGTCAAGAGCTCATGTTTAATGCCTGGCTCAGCCGAGGCTCAGTCCTGACTTCACTGGCTGGACCGGAACTGGGGGACAGAGCGTTGGAGGAGAGGTCCCGCAGGGAACAAAGCGGGAGGGGCTCAGGCAGGAAAGGGGACATGGCTCTGTTTAATACAGACAGTTCCCAGCAGGGGGCAGCTTCCAGCCGCACATCAGCACCTGCCTCTGCCCAAAAGGACCAGGCAGAGGGACCAGGGGGACCAAGGTTGGCTCCCCAAGGAAGAGCATGGACCCGAGTCGGAAAGGAGCCCAGAGGAGCAGCCCTGGAAGGACGCAGCGAGAGCGCGCGTGTTGGTATCTCAGGGCTCTGCTTGGCCTCAGGATTTCATGGCTACTTAAGTCTGTCGAGTGGGGGGGTTTGTTGTTCCAATCCTGCATCCCCCAGCTGGAGCAGTCGGGTCTCGCTCAAACCCCCAACGCCTTCAGTCCTCTCTGCTCTGGGGAGCAGAGAAACCGGATTCCCGGCAAGTCAGTGCAGAGGGTGACTGAGTCATCAGGGCGCCCCTTTGCCAGGAGAACTCTGCAGCAGTACCCCCAGCTGCCCCTTGCCCCAGATGCACGTACTTTTTGGAAGCTGTCCTTCAAGACCTCCAGCTCGTGCTGGAAGGTGTTGACAGTGGTTTGGAGGGAGTAGATGTTGGTGAGCAGATCCTGCAGTGTATTCATGGCCTGAGGAGTGAAGTGGACAAGCAAAGGAAGGCGTCAGGACCAGCTCAAAGCAGACCGGGCAGGACCGGGAACAAGCCACGAGCACTCGGCATGGACAGGCAGCCAGCCAACCCAGGCGGCCAGGTTTTGACCAGAATGCCCAGCTGAAAAGGATCCTGGTGGCTCTGATTAGCACTGCTGATTGGACCGATAAAAGCCTGCAGCTAAGGCAGGCTCCCTATCGGCCCTGGAGCCACATGGCTCCCAGAAGCAGCTGCTCGGTCCACATGGGTGGCCAAGGGCAGGAGGTGCCACATGCAGCCCGAGTGCCAGCTCCGTAGTGCTCACTGGCGAGGAACTGAGACTATTGGGAGCTGCTTGCAAGCAGAGGCAGCTTGCAGAGCCTCCCTGGCCACTCACAGACCTAGCAACCTAGGAGCTGCAGTAAGAGCCGCCGGGATCCTGCACCCCAACTTCCTGCTCCAGCATAGAGTCCCTCCTGCACTCAAACTCCCTCCCAGAGCCCACCCCCAACCTTCTGTCCCAGCCCTGAGTCCCCTTCTGCACCCCAAACCCTCATCCCTGGTCCCACCCCAGAGCCTGCACCCCCAGCTGGAGCCCTTACCCCCCCACACCCCAGCTCTCCTCCCCAACCCTGCCTCCCCCTGTACCCCAAAACCTCATCCCTGGTCCCACCCCAGAGCCTGCACCCCCAGCTGGAGCCCTTACTCCACCCATCCCAACCCCCCATCTTGCTCGTCTGCAATGGTTGGACCTTCTTCTCCCAGGGAAGTAAATGCTACTCCCTTGATCCCATGTGTCCAGAATGGCTGCATGCGTTGGGCCAGGAGGAGACATGCCTCCAGGCCTGATTCCCTGCTGCCTTCTACCTTGGTGCAGTCATTCCCAGCAGTGCCCAGGGGCTGGGACACCATTCCGATGAGGTGGCGTTTTACACTCCCGGTCAATGCTAACACAAGGGGCAGGGCAGCAGAGAAGCAGGCATCCGGTTTCCTCATCTAGCTCAGCGCCTCCCCAGAGGCATGGCGTGTCGCAGGGATGTGCTATGGGGAAGGTCTAGGAGGGACCTTCCTCTGGGATTGCAGCCCTGCTAAGGACTTGAGGCTGCTCCCAGGGGAATCCAAAGCAAACGTGAAATGAAGTTCTTGGGACACAAGAAGGGTCCCCAAGTGAGGGATTGCTAGGGACAGGCATAGCCAGAGCCTGTTCTGGAGAGCGGGGACTGAAACAGTTCCTGGTGTCTCATTTTCTGCCGGAGCGGATTAACAATAGTCGGAGGGAATCCTCTGCTGCCCATGTGATGAAATCGGCCACTTCAAACCAGTGCTCTTTAACTCAGTTTCTCCATGGACTAGACCCAAACTGCTCAGATGAACCTGCGTTAGCCCTGCTCAGATTCCTAGGAGAGAAATTTCCCAGAGTCCATGGCCAATGGTCCCCACTTGCACTCTCCGGGCTCCTGGGAACCAGACACCCCCTCTAGCTGGCTTTGGCAGATCACGGCCCTGTGGCAGGATCTGTGGGCAGCACCTTTTACACCTGACAGACCTGAGGGAAAGTAACCAGTAGCTCTGCCAAAGCAGGGCTGGCCCACCTTCGTCATTCCTTCCTCATTCATTTCCATCTTCTTCTTCAGCTGCATCATTTGCCACATTTCCTCGGCAGGCTTGTTGAGGGACTGGCTGCGAGTCAGCAGCTCGGCTGTGGTAGGGGGAGGGATCAGGTGGAGCAGCTGGCTTTCAATCTTCGTCAGCCTCTCCTGCAGCTGGTGAAAGAGCGAGCTGGATTGCCTCTCTGTGGAGGCCTGCTCCTGGCCCTGGTGTTCAGCTGCAAAGCTAGCGGCAGGCTGGAGAAAATCCCTCTCCTCCTTGGAGATCTCCCTCCTGGCCTCCTGCAGCTGCAGGTGCTCCAGCAGGCTGTGCAGCAGGACGTGCAGGGCGTTGAAGTTGACATGGCCGAGCTCAGGCGTGCCAATCGCGATGTTCACCAGCTCTGCAAACGTGATGGAGAAGCTCATTTTTCCTTTGGGCGCTGGCCTGGGGAGGCCAGCAACGGTGAGCTCCGAGGCGGCCTCCGTACAGCAAAGTGGTTCCCAGGACTAGTCGTCCTAGGGATCCACAATAACATACCCTGATAGGCTCAAAGTTAATAAGTCACGGCCATGGGCATGTGATTGGCTTCTGGGAGCATCCGCCTGGTCTGAGCTCTGCTCGGAAAGTTTCTGCTGGTTGCTAGGATACCAAGGAACGTGCAGAGATCTGAAAGGAGATGGACAACTTGAGGAAGGTGGCGCGATGGTGATGAATGGGGTGAGTCACTGCTGTTTGGCCGTGGACCAGGGCAAACCCGCGCACATGACACCTGGCGCTGGAATGGAGCAATGTGCTCCTGGAAGCAGGAGAGCCCAGTTGTGGTGAGCGCGAGGTAACTGTGGCCGGTTACCTAGCGATTGTTCTTGAGGTTCTGTGTTGGTCTCTCTCATGCTCAGGATTTTACTCTGCTCCTGGGGATGAAATACAAACTGCTGGCAAAGGCAAATCCCTCCCCTCTGGGGGAAGACTTAGACTGCATAAAACACCCCAAGATGCCCTTCCTCAGAGCATGAGCATATTCTGATTCCATAGTGTTACCCGCACAAATTTCTCTATCCCTTCCACACTGTAGGGACACACACCTTTACCCAGTTCCTAGGGCTCAAGGTGCAACCCTGTGAATTTACACACCCACCCTTACCCAATTCCTAGGGCTCAGGGTGTAACAACCTGCAGGTTGGCAGGATCTGTAGCCGCTGAAAGAGCCTCACACAGTAATGTCCTTTTCCTCTATTTATTGATAATTCCCAGACAAGCAGAATGCACATGCTAAGCACACAGTGTCATGCTCACCAATCCTGATAAAGGCAGGCAGACTTCCCCTGTTGGCCAGGCAATATTAGTCTCTCTGGTCTTAGGCTGTGTCTCGGAGGTGAGTTCTTCTTTTTCAGGTCTTCCCCCCTCCTCCTGGTCCTCTTCCAGCCTTTTCTTCCTTCTGTTACTTCTGATCTTCTTCTTCTTCTCCTTCTTGAACCCCAGTTTATATAATGAAACCTGAGTGTTGCTTAGCTATACTATAACCAATTATTTTCGTATAATTTTACTAACCAATCATAACAAAATTGCCTAACCAATCATACCCCACCACCTTAATTGATTTACACCTAGCAAAATGAATTATCCAGCCGACAGAAACAGTTACAAACCAGACAGAGATCACACAGTCAAACAATAGGAAAGTGTAGTGACAATGATCATAGGATAAGGATTACACACCATTCTCTATTGATAAGCGGTTTCTTGCCAGACAGAGCGGTGTGACTTAAGTTTTCTTTACCCATCTTGAGATCTGTTTATCTGGTGACAGTGGGGGAGCTATCAGGGCAAAGTCCCCTTCTCGCAGCCTGGCGTGACACTTTGTAATACAATTTAGATGGAACTGTGAGTATGTGACTCCAGGCCTTACAGTAATGGCTGCTACTCTTCAGTCTGGCTACAGAAGGCGGCTTTGGTTCAGGCCTAGCACGGGCCTTCCATCATGGCTACAGAAAAGCCATACTGTTACAATTGGGAGGCAATGATTACCCAGCACCTGCCTATGCTAAGCCTCATAGTGGCTGGCAAGATGCTCCTTGCTCTCCTGTCCTTGGCACCATCAGTTAATTCCACCTCCCAGGCATCCAGGAATGTTTCTGTACTCAGGGACTGCCCAGCATCCAGCTGGCTCATCCTGGTTTTGCAGCCCCCATCTCATTCAGGTAATTGAAAGGAGCTGCTGGCCAGCTGAGTCAATAAAATGCCACAGGCTGGCTGAGACTGCAGGGTCTCTTGGGCCCTGTCTCTATAGGCTGCCATCGGCAGGATGACCCCATAAGTCAAACAGAGAATCATCAACCCCTAGTGTTTTTTCCTGGGCTACTATTTTGTAGCATGTAGGAGGATGCTCCAAAGACCCATTGTACTAAGGCTGCCCAGACACTGGACAGGAAAGGTGGTTGCTGCTCCAGAGAGCTTAGGCAATTTGTAAGTCTACTCCCAGCCCTGCCTGTGCAGCTGCAGGAAGGAGAGGAAGGTTGTAAGGCCTTTTGGACCAGAGACTGTATCTACCTGTTTGCTCAGCTCCTAGGTCAATAGGCTCCGTCCTGATGCCACTAAATCCCGTAGGATTAACTTTAACTTCTAAATTAACTTTCTGTCTAGACAAACCCTTAGGTTTGTCCTCACTAGAACTTTTGTCAGTCAGGGGTGTGAAAAACACACACCCTGACCGACATAAGTTTCACTAACAAAGCATAGAGCAGCTAAACAGGAGACTTTAGAGCAGCACAGTTGCTAAAGGTCCATAATGTAGACATAGCCTTAGTAAGTAAAAGGAAAGGAAATGGGAAACTGAGTGGGGAAATGCTGCTGCTAATTCGTTTAGTTTAAAGAGTTGTAACTAGTTTTCAATGATACCTACATAAATGGGAAGGAGGTTGCTGACGTTCATATGCAAATACCTCTGATGGCAAGGGAGGCATGTTATTCCTACAATTAGTATCAGTGTTGTCAAGTCATAACAATAATAATGCATTTAACATTTCTGAATCAGCATTATAGTCTGCCTTCACTGCAAAGAAAATGTGTGTCCTTAAAATGGAAATAATTGTGGGTGAGAACAAAGTTACATAGGTCTGCTGCCAGATTGGCAGTGGTGTCCTCTGGGATAGTGTTTCTAATTGCCTGTAATCCGTCTTCATGTGGGATGTTGGTGTATAGAGCTTCTACATCCATGGTAGCAAGCAACCACAGGACATATCACACTAATACCAACCCTGGAACTTTTCCTTGCAACAAACCCCGTTGCCAACTTTGTCCACATATTTACTCTGCCGACACCATTATTGGACCTAAACAATTCAGTTATAAGATCAAGAACACATATTCCTGCTCATCCAGAAATATAATCTATGCTATCATGTGCCGACAGTGTCCATCTGCTATGTACATTGGACAAACGTCTCAGACGCTTCGCCAAAGAATCAATGCACACAAAACGGATATCAGACAGCATCACAAAGAAAAAATAGTTTCTTGCCATTTCAACCAGAAAGGGCATTGTCTCAACGACTTGATTACCTGCATCCTGCTTCAAAGGCATTTTAACACCAGACTTGAAAGAGAAACCTCTGAACTGTCATTCATGCTTAAATTTGACACTTTACGCCGGGGTCTTAACAAAGACGCTAATTATCTTACCCATTACAAAGATAACTTCCCCAGTTATCACCTCTAACATCATTAGCTCACAGATATTTACCTCCCCCCCATCCTCCCTCTGTTCTGAAATTTGATTTGTCCTTTTCATATGTGTTCACTTATGTGTTCATATGGGCTCCTCACCTCAAAAAAGATATTTTGGCCTTGGAAAGGGTTCAGAAAAGGGCAACTAAAATGATTAGGGGTTTGGAACGGGTCCCATATGAGGAGAGGTTAAAGAGACTGGGACTTTTCAGTTTAGAAAAGAGGAGACTGAGGGGGGATATGATAGAGGTCTATAAAATCATGAGTGGTGTGGAGAGGGCCGATAAAGAAAAGTTATTTATTAGTTCCCTAAATAGAAGAACTAGAGGACACCAAATGAAATTAATGGGGAGCAGGTTTAAAACTAATAAAAGAAAGTTCTTCTTCACACAGCGTGTAGTCAACCTGTGGAACTCCTTGCCAGAGGAGGCTGTGAAGGCTGGGACTATAACAGAGTTTAAAGAGAAGCTAGATAATTTCATGGAGGTTAGGTCCATAAAAGGCTATTCGCCAGGGGATAAAATGGTGTCCTTGGCCTCTGTCTGTCAGAGGCTGGAGAGGGATGGCAGGAGACAAATCGCTTGATCGTTGTCTTCGGTCCACCCTCTCTGGGGCACCTGGTGCTGGCCACTGTCGGCAGACAGGATGCTGGGCTAGATGGACCCTTGGTCTGACCCAGTACGGCCGTTCTTATGTTCATTTTTTGATTGTATCCTTTGGTATATATGGTTGTGCCAATTTTCTTCCACGTATTGATCTGAGGAAGTGGGTCTGGCCCCGAAAGCTCATCACTAATAAGCCCTGGTGTTAGTCTTTACAGTGCTGCATAGTCCTGGCTTTTGTTCCAGCTGGACCAGACTAACACGCTGCGTCCCTCTTGCTATTCTGTCAGCCTGAGTGAGGGCAGAGGGGGCCGCGGTATTAGCGGATATTTCTGCGCATGCTCAGCTCTACGGCGCGCATGCTCAGTTGTCACAAGGCTGTACCGCTAGTGTTGCCGCTACCGCCTCCCGCCGCTCAGGAGCTTCCCGCGTCGCCGTCTTGCAACTCGGTAGGTGCCGCGCGGGTCCATCGGCGGGGCGGTAGCGCGGGCCTGAGCTCGCTGCCAGCGCCGCGCTCCCTCAGCGGGGTTGGGGCCAGTGGGGACGGGGCGCTTCTCACAGGCGGGGGGGAGGAAGCCCCCTCGCCGCGCGGGGCATGTCGGGAGCTGTAGTCCAGCCGGGCCTCGCGCTCCGGGGAGAGCCGGCAGAGGGAGGGGCAGAGAACTACAACTCCCAACAGCCTCCGCGCCGCGGTTAACCGGCGAGGAAGCCCCCAGGGAGGGCGCGAGGCCCGGTCGGTTGTGGGGGGAGGGGTATCACTGGGCGGCTGCTAGTAGGGGTGAGTTGCCTGAGCGGGAGTGGGACCCCCCCCCCGCCCTGGGCCCAGTGTCACAGGACTTGGACCAGGGCAGAATTGCTCTTGGGGTTGTATCGGGATAACGGAATTGTTTGTTTTTTTAAATTACCCCCCCAGTCAGAATAGCTACCCTGGCACGACACCTGTGTGTGGAGCGTCAGCGCCTTGCCCAGAGCCCTCAGTCGGGCTAGTGGGACAGTCAGAAATGCACCGCCAGAAGTTCTGTGGTAGGTCCCTCACGCCCACGAATAGGCGCAGATCTCTGCCTCCTTTTTTTTTTTTTTTGGTGGATACAAATTTGCATTGCAGGTTTGTGGCTGTCAGCTTTATATCCGCAGGTATCGGTATGCGCAAATCTGGATGTGGATGTGCACGACTCATTTTTGCAGTTACAAATACAAAATTTTTGTATCCGCACAGGGCTCCACTGATTTCCTGTTTTGTATGTTACCAGCTTGCCTTTAACTTTTAGCAAAATAGCTACTATTTTTTTCAGTATGTCCATCCAAAAATCTATGTTTCAGTTGCATTAAAAGGTGAACTTTGGCTTTTCTCCCAGATATCCCAGATTTCTCCCAAATATCCCGGATTGTAGTTTTCACGTATTTGCTGGTTTTGATGCCTTATGAAAAAAATAGTTATAACATTTTACATGTGTGGGTTTCATGGATGTAAGACCTTGAATTAAAAACTTGTATTCTGACAGAGTTTGAACTTGTTTTCATAATTACAGTTGTTGTAATTCGCTAGTGAAGAATTCTACTAAACTTTTCTTGAGTGCTTGTGAATTGTAGCATTTCCTAGCCTGACTGAAACAGTTCACTTTTAACAGATGGCAAACTCGGTTAAATGTAATAATGTTTTCTTTATTATACTTTTAAAACTTTATTTTAGCTCTAATACAAGGTAAAAAACCCATTCTATATAATAGAAGTTATTCTGAGGAATTCATAAGTCATTCAGAAGCAGTTCGTGAACACTTCAAACATCAAGATCATTCCACTTTGGCATCCTTGGGCTTAATATGCTACATTTTTTGGAGTTCCACTGTATCATGGCATTGCTCTGAGCTCACCTTTATTTATAAAGAAGGCCTTCCCTCTTGCAAGTAAACCTGAGTAAGATGGAGTAAGTAGTGACTATTTTGGGAGAAAGTGGCAATTGGGAGAAAGTGTGTTAAGGACTAGTTC